AAGCAGAAAAGGGGAAAAAATAAGGGGCCTGGGGCAGATACCACCCTCAAAGACATAAACTACCACCTCTAGGTAGGCCCTAGCTTCTAAACTTTCCAGAAATTTCCAAAATAGCAACACCAAATAGAGACCAAGCTCCCAAAATATTAGGCTTTGTCACGGAGACCCTTCATATCTAATCAATAAAAATATCTATTATGGAAAAATATACAGGTTCTTCAAAATATTTTAGACTACTATATGATCTAATAGTCTTACTCTTAGATACAGACACAAAGGAAATGAAATGAGTATGTTAAAGAGATATCAGTATTATATCATATTTATAGCATCATTTACAATAGCCAAGATATTGATTCAACCCACCAGTTGACAAACAAGCAGATAAAGGGAGTGTGATACATATATGCAAGAGAATACTGTAGCAATAAAATAGAGAAAGTCATCTGTGGCCACACAGATGAAACTAGAGAATGTTACATAAGAGAATGAAGCCAGGTGAAGGAAGACACATACTGCACTGAGGTCAAAAGGCCTCGTTCATATGTGGAATTTAGACACTTGCTCTGCCATGGAAGTAAAGAGTAGAACAGCGGTAACTGGAATTGAGATAATGGAGGGTAGATAGAAATGAAACGATATTAGCCAAAGGAAATAGGACTATGGATAGATAAGAATTCTATCAATGAGTCCAGAATAGGTAAATATGTAGATATAGAAGGTAAACAATTGGCTTTGTGAAGTCTGGGTCTTGGAAGAGAGGGCATGGTGTAGCGGAGGGAAGAATGATTTCTAATGGTCTTTTTTTTTAAAAGATTCATTTATTTATTATGTATACCGTGTTCTGCCTGTGTGTAACCCTGCAGGCCAGAAAATGGCACCAGATCTTAATACAGACATGGTTTGAGCCATCATGTGGTTGCTGGGAATTGAACTCAGGACCTCTGGATGAGTAGCCAGCACCTCTGAACCATCACTCCAGCCCTCTAATGGTGTTTTGGAGGGGGGTGACAAAATGTTGTATAGTCGCTTGTAGTGATAGCTACACAACTCTGAAAGAACTAAAACTCCCTGGATTGTACAGTTTAAAAGGGTGGCCGGGCGATGGTGGCTCACGCCTTTAATCCCAGCACTCGGGAGGCAGAGGCAGG